GGAAAGAGTATTTTAGGCAGGAAGAGCTGCACATGAAAAGATTCTGAGAAGAAACAGGGCCTGAAGTGTCTGGGAGGTAAGAGAGGCTAGAACAGCGGAGCAGAATGAATGGAGTGGGTTGTGACAAGAGACAAGGGTGGAAAATTAGGAAGGGGATGGATTATGTGGGCCTTGCAGGTCTTAAAAAGTAATTGATACCTTACTTTAGTTGTAACACAGAGCACTGAGGATTTGTAGCAGGTAAATAACATCGTCTGATCTACTTTTGTAAAGTCATTTTGGCAACTCTGTGAAGGAATCGGAAGGAGAAAAGCATGGAAAGAGGCCAGTTAGACGTACAGGGTCATAGTCCGGACTAGCTGAGCTGGAAGCTTTCCTGATTTTGTTCAGAAAGGCAGTGGAGAAGGGAAATAGCTGGGCCTGTGAAGATCCGATGAGTCCTGGTGATAGACTGGATGTGGGTAGTGAGGATGCCCACGGGTGCTGACTAATTTAGAAACTGAGTGAGTTGTGGTGCTATTTACTGAGACGCCACAATATAAGGCAGGGAGAGTTTTCAGGGGAAGAAGGTAAGACGTTCCATTTTGAATGCATTAAATTTTAAATCATGCCAGAGGATGTGTCCAATAGGGAGCTGGACATACAATTGGGGGCTCAGAGAAGTGGTGTGACTCTCCAAGCCTAACTGGTTAAGGCAAGTAGAACAGATACACAGCAGACTTCATTTTACAGGTCACCTCAGGATGTTTCCAACATAAACAGTCTAAGTGCATTTTCTAAAGGTGGAGAGATGAGATGTAGGAGGATGAAAATGGAATATACACATCATCACAAACAATCATTTTGCTAGATCAACCAATGTTTTTGTGTACTGTGAAATTAAACTAAATCTGGCCTGAGGATGCCTCCATATTTTGAGTCCTTACATAGGAACTGCAACCTAACTGTTACGTAAATTAACGGAAAGCCTAACTCAGAAGTGTACTTTTGTAAGACGTAGCTTAGCCTCAGCCAATCATGGCAGCCAACCTTCAGCCATTCCCAGTTCAGACCATGTTCAAATAAGGCAACTGCCAAGTTGTTTTCAGTCCAGTTGTTTCCATATTTCACTTTCCTTTTTGTCCATAAATACTGCCTGCCTACATGGTGGAGTGGAGCTCTCTGAACCTCTTCTGGTTCTGAGGAATGCTTGATTGCAAATCGTTCTTTACTTGAACTTTGCAAAATTTAGTTCTTCTGAAGTTTCCCTTTATAAAACAATGTGGAATAGGGCATGTGCACTCATGGGTGGGAGAGCAGGAGGAAAGAGAGAGAGAGAAACAAAGTACCCCTCAGGGTCATGGTCATGCTTCAATCTCTTCTCCTCCAGTCTCCTCTCAAGATCTTGGGCACACATGCTCACATGCCCAGCATGTTTTTCAAGCCACCACATCATGGACTTGAACTGCACAATCAAGCACATAAGATCCAGCTGCCTTAAACATCATGCCACTTGTTGGCCCTAAAGTTCTCCTTCCAACTGTGTGAATATCCTGTCTTGTAAATAAAGCATAATCAGTTGAGGGAACACATGATTACATGGAGAGTTGCAAGGCAGTATTGCCAGGCTGCTGATTTACTGCTCTTTGATGGATGTTAGCTAGTAAGAGACATTAGCACTGCACCTGAAGACCCAATGTGCTCTCCAGGGAGGGTGTTCAGTTGGTCAAGATGATCAAACAAATCAACAGGATTACTTTTTGGCTGACAACTTCATAATGGCTGCAATAACTACATTTATGGACAGAGTATATGTACAACTATTTCTTGTTTGAAGTGCTTTCTCTCTTGCTAAGGATAGGATTTGGTGGCTCTTGTCCTCATGCAGTAAAAAGATTTTAGCTAGAAGATTGAAAATAATATTATCAGTTAATACCACTGAGCGCTTACTATGTGTTACGTACTTTGTAACACATACACTAACTAATCTCCACAACAGTATAATGCTCTTACTATTATCCTCTTTATATAGGTAAGAAGAGGCTTATAGAGCATATCAGTCAAGGAACACAGTCCATACCAGCCTCAATGGAGAACAGTTAACATGGATCATAAATTACAAAGATGTTTGAATGGATGAGAGGGGAAACAAGATGGTGAGGGAACTAGAGATTGGCAATAGCAGGAAGTAACTCATACTCCAAAAGTTAGAGACACAGGAAGATCAGGTTATCAGAGGTTAGGGAAGACTAACAGGGGCAAAATCAGAGGAGACTTAGCCAATAATAGAAACCTGACCCCAGTCAGAAGGAAATGGGTAAACATCCTGGTTTCTTTCTTTCTTCCACCTCCAGTCTCCCTCTACTGCCCTCCATTGGCCCAGACTAACTGGCCAATTGACAGGAGCCTGAGAGGTACAGTTTGCATAGACATAGCAGAGGAAGGGTAAGAGATGGCTCTGTGAGCAAACAGGCAAACAGCAACAGACAGAGATTGAGTAATTAATTGGACCTCAGGTTACACAAGCTGTCTGCATTTAAATTCAGAGAACATGGACCAGCAGATGGCATAATGGTTATGTTGCTGGATTCCCACCTAGTTGGCCACAGTTTGAGTCCCAGATCCAGCAACTTAAAACTCAGACCGTGTGCATGTATGCATGCATGCTCCAAATCCCGAGATGAGAATGGAGGAGAAGGGATTGCAGTGTGGCCATCCCCTCAAGGCTGATTTCTCGCTTTCTGTCTCTATGTCTCTCTAGCGAGCACATATGCCCTGTAGCAAAAATCTCTCTCTAAAAAAACAAACTTTCTGAGTACATACCACTAATCTAGTAATTGTTTAATTGTTATGAAGAGATACAAGGCATCAAAGGAGCATCCTATTTGATTCTAAAGAACACTTCTCTCTCTCTCTTTCTGTGTGTGTCTGTGTGTGTGTGTGTGTGTGTGTAATGTACATACAATATATCTGTGTGTGCTGCATAAAATTTTATCTCATTTCTGTCTTTGTGATCCATGGTGTTCTGTCCTTTGCATATAGAAGATTTCTAAGATATTATTTTTAATTCTTAAAACTAATGACTAGGTAAGGTGACTTCACAGAAAACTTATAAAGGAGACCAGGCTGGCTGGGTTTGCTCAGAGTGTATAAGTTAGTTCCACTACAGGCAGCTGTGAGCTTCGCCGGGTCACCTCAATTCTTGAGGCCTCATACTCAACACTAGTAAAAAGAAAGATAGTCATTCTCCTTTCTGCTCTATGGCTCCCTTGGTCCATCTTCAGGGAAAGATGGCTTCTTGTTTTGGCTTCCGGGGGGGTGGGGAGGGACAGAAACAAAAACAGAAACAAAAGCCCAAAGAAGCATCACCCACATCAAGAGTGAAGGAACCCCCTGAACACTGCACGCCCATGTGACTTGACCCCCAGCACACTTTCCTTCCCTGTGACACCGGACTTTCCCTTCAGTTTACATCTGCTCCACAAATCCTTTAGCACAATATGTAAAATGGGAACGAGGGAGTGCTTAAGTTATGTATTAGATTTATAACTATGACTCTGACGTCCTGCTTCCTAGGAGGACATTTTGACTGTTAGGTTATATGTTTTTACCTGAGTTTACGGTAAAAAGTTTGCTGATTCGATAATCACAACCTCACAACCAGTCTGTGCTCCACAGAGTAAAACAAAGGAACAAAAACGCCTGAACAACACAATTATTTCTTGCTTTTAATTACTTTATCTTGCAATTGGTCAACGTTATAAGAAAAATAATAGAATCTGCTTTAAAAATCTGCTAAATATGCTAAAAAGTCTAGAAAACATAAAACATATTTATCATCTCACTTACCTCGGCGGGAGACAAAAAGATCTTTTTACTTTGATAAAGGTGACAGCCACGTGAGCTGTCCAAGAGATGCTATGAGATTGATTTCTGACATGGAGAGGGGAAGGGGAGAGACACTCACTGACAGATAATGGGGAGTGAAGATTGCCTGGGATTCTGATTTCTTTACAAAGACAACGTAAGCTGTCCACAGTGACCAGATCTGGGGACTCTGGATTGACTTCCAGGGAGTGTGGTGAAGGGTTGAGAGGATGCTCTCCCTGGGTGTTCCCCTGCCTCTTTGGCTCTTGAGTTGCGGCTGTTGCCCTACCACCACCCCTCTCCCCAGAGAGAAAGTGCAATGTCAGCCTAAAGAGCCCTGCCAGTGTCTCTGCTGCTTCCCTCTTACTGATATATTGTGAGAGGGGAGGGCAGAACAGGACCCTTCTGCTTTGCTTGTCATTGATCATTCTTTTATTTAATGAATATTTATTCACTGGATGCCATGTGCCCAGAACCAAGATGGACAACAGAACCTTGTAGCAGTAGGTCAGGGTGAGGTAATGAGGGACAAAGTTTTTTTTTTTTTTTAAATAACCCAAAACCAAAACCAAACCAAAACAAAACCCTCAAACACAACCCTACAAACACTCCAGAAAGAAATGGATCAATATTTGATTCCTCTTCCAGGCCAGTTTGGCCTCATTTCCAACCAGGAATTAAATAGCTGGCTCTGGCTCTGTTACATGCTTCTCTTACACCACTCTTCATCACCTTGATGACAGAGGACTGACATTTTAATGGCACTCTGAGAGCTTGGAATAAAACTATCTTCTGCTGACACATTTAACTAACACTGAATTATTTCACAGAACTTTGGTGGATGTGCACACGACATCTGCATAATTAAAAGATAAATTCTTTTTGATCATTGCTGTTATCATCAATATCAAATTAATTTATGCTCGTGAATCACTACATGTGGAGAGCTACTGAGCATGAGTAACCTTTTGTTTCCTGGCTTTGTGAGTCACAAAAGCACATGCGTCTGTAACCTGCACCCGATTTCCTTTTCCAGCTGCTCTCCTCTCCCCTCCCCATTTCCTCTTCTCTATTGATTTTTACTTTAATTATCACATTTGTAGCAAAGCTCAAGAGAAATTAAATGGCAGGACTCTGTGAAAGACACAAAGTCTGGCCAGTCCTTGAAGTCACCAGAGGAAACCCCTAGAGAGAGTGTGCATAATTCTATAGCTCACAGAGGCCTGCAGAGGGAATTACAAATTGGCCTCCGGTGCTTGGGGGCCAGGTAAAGTGATGCAGGTGAGTTTTTGTCATTGCTGCCTTTCCTCCTGGAAGCAGAATTTGCATGAAGCTGTCAATTTTATCAACGCTCATAGAAGCTAGAGATGGTTTGAGCAGCCAGCTTTAAAGAGGGGGAACATCTGCATTTCCACTTCCCATTTGCATTTTTTTCTGCACACATTTTGCAAGCACCCCCCACAGGCCAAGTTTTGAATTCACTACTGGAACCAGTTTGTCTCAGGCTAGACATTGTAGAGATAGCGTCTAAGAGTATTCAATGTCAGTCCTTGCTAGGACTTGCTGTGTGATCGATCATTAGAGCATCATCTAGAGCCCGAAATACTTGTCCTTAATTTTTTAGAGGAAAGTGATTTTAGAAACAGGTGGAATCTGAGATGCTCTGGATGACTATTAACTAGCTCAAAGCATGTCTGGTATTTTCTAAGTCCATTTGGAGATCAATTAACCATTTCTTATGTGCAAACTACTCCCGTCTGGAAAGGTTTTTATGGGCTCAGAATGTCCATTACATTGCTTCCTTTCATTTCTTTTTGTTAAGTTCAGTCTCTTCCCTTACTAAAGTGCCACTTTTTAATGATCACATCAGTTTTGTGTTTCTTGGTTAGAGCAAATTGCTGTCATTTATGTGCTACCACTGCTTCCAGGGCATTTTTTTTTTTCCTTTCTGGGTGGTCTTTAATCCAATGACACACTTCTCTATGTCTCCCATAATGGCATCTTAACGATGAGAACTAGCTGAAGCTCAATTAAGAAACATCATGAATCATATAGTTCAGCCTCTCATTGTGCATAGGGATCCCTACATGGTGAGAGAGTTTCATTTTCTTTTGCCTTGGCCATTCTAAGTCCCTGCCTTATATGTGCCCCATCTTCACCCACATTACTTTCTAAACACATTTCTCAGGTCTACTGAAAACAATTGACATGAGCAAACTCTTACCTATTTGCCAATCCCAGGGCACCTTTAACAGCTCCTTATGCTCCATAATAGCTCTGAAAATTCAAAGAAAATGGACTTGATAAGCAAGAATACAATGCACTCTACTTCCTCTTTTTTTTTTTTTTTTAACTTACCAGACTTACACAAATAATGAAGCAATCTGTTGAATTTTTAAAAATGACTTTGAGTCTTGTAGAAGCAAGTCTAATTAGGCACCTGAGGTTGACCCTGGAAGGATCTCAGTAAATGTGGCCAGCAGTGTGAATGTGCCAGGGACAGTGAAGCTCAACCCTTCCACTGCCTTCTCACCCGGTCTGCCTACAGCCTTTGTTCCTTCTTGCTCAGATGCTTTTTAAAACACAAAGGGTGAAGTTCGGTAAAAATCTTTTTTTTTTTTTTTTTTTTTTTGCCACAGGGCATGTGTGCTTGCCTGAGAGAGATGGCATGAAATGGGGAGACAGGCATAGGGTGGGGTAGGTGGATGAGAAAGCAACACCCAATGGAAGAGGGTTACACTGTAATCCCTTCTCTTCCATTCTTCTCTTAGGAATTTAGGCATGCACATACCTGGTGAGTTTTTTTTAAGCCTCTGGGTCTAGGACTCAAATGCCACAGATATCCATGTGGGATTCAGCAGCTTTAACTACCATGCTACCAATTGGCCCGGTTTAATCAATTTTCTGATTGAGCATTCTTTAAGCCAATGGTTCTCAAAGTTATAGGTACATGGAAACCAATCGGTGAGCGTGTTAAAACACCATTTCATAGGCCCTATCTACAGAGACTCCGATTCAGTAGATCTGAGTGGGGCCGATGCATTTCTGACAAGGTCTTATTTGATACCATTGCTGCTGGCCAAAGAACACACTTGGAGAACCACTGCTCCAGAAGAATATCAATAGGTGAGGTTGACACCATTCCATCAGCATCAGTTTAAATCTAGGGCACCCTTAGTGTATCCCATTGGCCAAACATACCCTAAGGCCATTTCCGTTAATTTAGCAGCAGCCTCCCTGCGGAGCCTGTCAGTTCTATGGACTTTGACAAGCAAATGAGTATTAGATCTCTGAAATATTTTTTGGACTCAAGAATAATAATCCATAAAATAAGCTACCCACGTACAAAATATTGGGTACTTGTAGCTGAATGTGGCAATTCCTTTTTTTTTTCCTTTGGAGAGGGTTTTACTATAACAGCGTGTGCACTTGCCAGAAAGACAGAGAGGGACAGAGAGACAGAAAGCGAGAAATCATCCCCCAGGGGGGAATAGCCACGCCATAATCCCGTCTCCATTCTCCACTTGGGATCTTGGGCACGTATGCACACGCGCCCAGCATGAGTTAAAGCCACTGAGTCCAGGACTTGAACCACAGTTGACTACATGGGAATTCAGTGACATAGCCATTATGCTAACTGCTGGTCCCAAATTCGGCAATTCCTTTTACTCTCACAAAGCTGAAGCCCAAACTTAGGAGCTTTAAAATGCCATTATTAGTTTAAAATGAACCCAGAATAAGTCTTTCTCAGTGAGATGCCCTGTCTTTGTGCCTTGCTTGCTACGAAGTTTTCACCAGTGTCAGGACACTGAAATTTGGAGGACTGTTAAAAATAGCCAATTTATGGGACCAGCAGTTGGTGTAATGGCTATGTCGCTGGACTACCATGTGGTTGACCGTGGTTCAAATCCTGGACCTGATGGCTTAAACTCACGCCAGGCGCATGTAGGTGTGTGTCCAAGATCTCGAGAAGAGAATGAGGAGAAGGGATTGCGGCATGGCCATCCCCCCTTGGGGGGTGATTTCTTGGTTTCCATCTCTCTGTCTTTCTGGAGAGTGAACATGCCCTACAGCAAAAACCTCTCCAAAATAAATAAATAAACAAATGAATAAATAGCCTATTTGCAAAACATGTATAAAACAATGCCAAAATATCTTCCTTGAATAATCAGACACTAACTGGTTCAGTTAGAATCAATGTATTTCTAACCATTTCTTATAAATTATCTTCAAAGTCCATTAAATGTTTTACAATAGTAGGTAACGAAGTTGTTTAGTTTAAAGAAATGTACTAATAAAGATGCAGCATATGCAGAATTGCACAAGGTGAGAGACTAGTGACTGTTTTTCAGCCTTGATTTTTACACCCCCAGGACAAAAATTGTAAGAATAACTCCTGATATTCTCTGCTCTATTCATTTCTTACGATGTTTTACTCACAATTGAATTCCACTGAAAAATGCACCAAAGCTGACAAGGTCTTATTTGATACCATTGCTGCTGGCCAAAGAACACACTTGGAGAACCACTGCTCCAGAAGAATATCAATAGGTGAGGTTGACACCATTCCATCAGCATCAGTTTAAATCTAGGGCACCCTTAGTGTATCCCATTGGCCAAACATACCCTAAGGCCATTTCCGTTAATTTAGCAGCAGCCTCCCTGCGGAGCCTGTCAGTTCTATGGACTTTGACAAGCAAATGAGTATTAGATCTCTGAAATATTTTTTGGACTCAAGAATAATAATCCATAAAATAAGCTACCCACGTACAAAATATTGGGTACTTGTAGCTGAATGTGGCAATTCCTTTTTTTTTTCCTTTGGAGAGGGTTTTACTATAACAGCGTGTGCACTTGCCAGAAAGACAGAGAGGGACAGAGAGACAGAAAGCGAGAAATCATCCCCCAGGGGGGAATAGCCACGCCATAATCCCGTCTCCATTCTCCACTTGGGATCTTGGGCACGTATGCACACGCGCCCAGCATGAGTTAAAGCCACTGAGTCCAGGACTTGAACCACAGTTGACTACATGGGAATTCAGTGACATAGCCATTATGCTAACTGCTGGTCCCAAATTCGGCAATTCCTTTTACTCTCACAAAGCTGAAGCCCAAACTTAGGAGCTTTAAAATGCCATTATTAGTTTAAAATGAACCCAGAATAAGTCTTTCTCAGTGAGATGCCCTGTCTTTGTGCCTTGCTTGCTACGAAGTTTTCACCAGTGTCAGGACACTGAAATTTGGAGAACTGTTAAAAATAGCCAATTTATGGGACCAGCAGTTGGTGTAATGGCTATGTCGCTGGACTACCATGTGGTTGACCGTGGTTCAAATCCTGGACCTGATGGCTTAAACTCACGCCAGGCGCATGTAGGTGTGTGTCCAAGATCTCGAGAAGAGAATGAGGAGAAGGGATTGCGGCATGGCCATCCCCCCTTGGGGGGTGATTTCTTGGTTTCCATCTCTCTGTCTTTCTGGAGAGTGAACATGCCCTACAGCAAAAACCTCTCCAAAATAAATAAATAAACAAATGAATAAATAGCCTATTTGCAAAACATGTATAAAACAATGCCAAAATATCTTCCTTGAATAATCAGACACTAACTGGTTCAGTTAGAATCAATGTATTTCTAACCATTTCTTATAAATTATCTTCAAAGTCCATTAAATGTTTTACAATAGTAGGTAACGAAGTTGTTTAGTTTAAAGAAATGTACTAATAAAGATGCAGCATATGCAGAATTGCACAAGGTGAGAGACTAGTGACTGTTTTTCAGCCTTGATTTTTACACCCCCAGGACAAAAATTGTAAGAATAACTCCTGATATTCTCTGCTCTATTCATTTCTTACGATGTTTTACTCACAATTGAATTCCACTGAAAAATGCACCAAAGAGACCAATCATTCCCAGGAATTCCACTCGGCTCAGGGTTCGGATTATGTATTCTTCCCAGACGTTAGAGATACCATACAGTGTGGCTCCTCCTAAGACCAGAAGGTCTCCTACAAGCTTGTTTTCTCCTAGGAAGGAAATAAAAAACAAGTGCTTCACTAAAAAACTTTTAAAACAAGAATCTGGAATCAGCAAATTGAGCTTCCTTTGCCTGTTCTATTTTGACATTTTAAAGGAAGTCCTACAATTTACAACTGAAATTTAGTAAAGTTTACTTTTTTGTACTCTAGAAATGTTCTGATATAAAAAGCAAGTCTTCTCATCCCCGTATCTTGTTTGCTATGGAATTTTCACTAGTGTCTCAGGACACTCAAATTTGGAGGATTGTTGGAAGGGGCCTATTTGCAAAGCATGTTTAAGGTGATGCCAAAGTATTTTCTATAAATAATTTCAGACACTGTTCCCATGTCAATACACTTGGAAGTCTTCTTGAACTAAGAAAGGAACCATTTTCTTCTATATTTTTCTCCACAAAGTCCAATGTCTTCTGTCCAGGTATGTGTCTATGAGTACATGCTAATAGGTGCACATATTATATTGGCCTCAGGGTATCATTATCCAATGGCTTAGTGAACGTAGTGTAGAACAAACAAACAGAATCAATATGAATTTCACCCTCTGCTATATAAGAAGACTAGCTATAACAGGAACAGTCAAAACTCCATCTTGACAATGGACAAAATGCATACTTGCTTAGAAAATGAGAGCGAAAGGAAGTATTCATTGAAATTTTAAATTCCCTAGAAGTAAGTCATGTAAAAGCGGACATACATGTAGTTCAAAATCACACTAATATGTTCATTTTTTTTCAATAAAAATTTGTTTTGAACTAAATTTCAATTGGCCTTTGTTGATGCACATTTGTAAATAAACATTTTACTCAGTTATTTCCTACAATTAGGCATATTCTTTCTACTCCAGGAAGTGTGGAGCCGTGAAGAAGGAGAGTGGAAACACCCAGCTGTACAGCTGCACTGGTGGGCTCTGTACTCGACTGGGCTCTGGCTCTGTCCTGCGCCAGTCAGCATCCAGAGCCTCAGTGACACACAGCTCTGAGAAGTACAGGTGCAGGATGGAAAGGATGCTCATCTGACGTGATTTCACAGAAGGGATTCGCTTTAGATTAGCCATGCATTCCTAGATTAGCAGGGGCAATTAAACACTGCAGAACCAGGTTCTTACTGGTCAGTAGGGAGCACTGAGCAATTTCTAGGCAATGGCTTCACATGAAAGAATTTGGGTAGCGGTTGGGGAAATACCTTGGCATGTGGTTACCTTGGAAGATTATTCTAAATGGTGTGATCTTTTCCTAAGGCAATTTGCCATTTCTGGTCAGGACCTGAGAGAAGGGAAGACATCCAAAAGGTAGCAGCTTGCTGAAATCATTCTCACAGGAATGGCAATGAGAATGTGGTTATGTGAGGGCTACCAGCCCCCACCCCACTACTCAGCAGATGAGCTGAGGATCTGATGATACCCTGATGAGAAATCAGACCTGGTAAGAGGTCCTGGGTATGTCTTCTAGGGAAATTAAGGTTGCTTTGACAGAGGGAAAAATCTTCAGCAACCTGATTAATCCTTTAATATGTCACCTATAAAATAATGACAAACTTTCAACTTTAAGTAGTTCATTTGAGAAATGGCCCATAAGATAAAACATATCTATAACTAAAACAAAAATATTATAATGAACAATATTCAGTCTCTTTTCGTTCAGGACACATTTCAGAATCATGTGATGACATGGGGTCATTATTATGAATATCAATTATTGTTGTAGTAGTGAAGTGTGGAAATGCTGCCTAATAAAATTCTTGGTTAATGAAATTAATTTTACATGAATGTATTCAAAAAACTAAATTATAATAAAATATTTTAATAGGAATTAGGGGAATATTAAACTTTTATAAGTCCCGATAAGAAGACACAGTGTTTCAGTGAATAGTTTTGCCAGTATTTCTTCAAATTCCACATTTGTACAGTTATGAACTATTTTCTTTTCTTTTTATTTTTTTTGAGAGGTTTTTGTTATAGAGCTCATGTGCTCGCCAGAAAGACAAAGAGAGAGAAAAAGAGACAGAGAGCGAGAAATCACCCCCACCCCAGGGGAATGAGCACACCACTGACATGGGGTCATTATTATGAATATCAATTATTGTTGTAGTAGTGAAGTGTGGAAATGCTGCCTAATAAAATTCTTGGTTAATGAAATTAATTTTACATGAATGTATTCAAAAAACTAAATTATAATAAAATATTTTAATAGGAATTAGGGGAATATTAAACTTTTATAAGTCCCGATAAGAAGACACAGTGTTTCAGTGAATAGTTTTGCCAGTATTTCTTCAAATTCCACATTTGTACAGTTATGAACTATTTTCTTTTCTTTTTATTTTTTTTGAGAGGTTTTTGTTATAGAGCTCATGTGCTCGCCAGAAAGACAAAGAGAGAGAAAAAGAGACAGAGAGCGAGAAATCACCCCCACCCCAGGGGAATGAGCACACCACAATCCCTTCTCCTCCATTCTCCTCTTGGGATCTTGGGCACACACGCACACGTGCCTGGCGTGAGTTTAAGCCATGGGTCCGGGACTCGAACCACGGTCAACTACATGGGAGTTCAGTGACATAGCCATTACGCTAACTGCTGGTCCCAAGCTATTTTCTTAACTAGTTTTTAACTATAAAAAATCTTCACTAGTGCCTTGATTCTTTATCAATTCAATAATAATTATTGATAACGTAATATAGCTTTGTGTAACCAAAATTTAGTAGTATTTTCTAAAGACAAAAGATTAAGCATTATTTATTATAATTTCACTGGTAATTATGTCTGTTAGTTTTTAAGTAATTTTAAATAATTTTCATATCATATATGAAAAATTTAATTAAATTAAGCAGAACATAATTTTCTTTTCTTTTTTCTTTTTTTGGAGAGGTTTTTGCTATAGGGTGTGTGTGCTCACCAGAAAGAGACAGAGAAAGACAGAGAGATAGAAAGGGTGGATACCCATACCGCAATCCCTTCTCCTCCATTCTCCTGTTGGGATTTTGGGCATGCACCCCCATGTGCTTGGTGTGAGTTTAGGCTACTAGGTCCAGGACTGGAACCGCGGTCGACTACATGGGAGTCCAGCGACATAGCCATTATGCCAACTGCTGGTTCCAAACAGAACATAACTTTACCCAACTTTATTATATAATGAAGTATTTGCCATTTTAACAAGCAAAACAGCTAAGAAACACAAAGTGGAAAATTATCTGTAGAAGATAATAGGTATGGTAATATCTTTGACTGGGCCAATAATCAGTGTATTCTGGATGGGAAAACTCATTTTATATGCTGTAATGATATACAGTGAATGAATGTAAAATAAATAAACAAAAATCCATAAATAAATAAAAGAAGTATAAGTAGTAGGACTAATCTTTTCTATCTAGATGACTGGAAATTACAACATATAACTCTATGTCTTATGCACTATTAGTGCAGTGGGGACCTGACATGGTGGTACCAGTTTTTGCACAGTGTTCAAGGGGGAGTTATACTCAGGAAATCAGTCTTTATCTGTGTGTGAAATAATAATGAGTGATGTTTTGCAAATTTGAGGTAAATGGACACATGTGAAATTTTGAAATGTCCATCCGACCTGACACATTTCTTCATTCTCTGAATTTCACACCAATGGTGTCTTTCCATGGCATCCATGGAATTCCACTCCAGGTTCTTTACTTGTTAAGTTGTATGTCTTAGTCCTCCTCCCACTTGTTTTCTTACAAAGAAGGCTGAAGACCATGAACTGTTACTTACTTACTTTATACTCCATGTACACCCTAGCATGGATTCGGGGGCATTTTAATATCTCAATAAATATCTAAAGGGACTGAGCAGACTGAAAACGTCTTAGTCTATTCTATGGTAAAGGTTTTGAGTGGCAATAGCTTTTAATTTAGGTAGAGCTGGTCTAATCACATTTCTGTCACTTACTTGCTGTATAACATTGGATAAGCTATAGAGTCTGTTTGAACTTAAGTTTCCTTATTTTAAAATGAGGTTATTTAGAGAATATAATGAAATAATACATGTAAATGCTTCGGGTAGTATCTGGCACTTATCTTATTGTGTTTTGCCAAATGGTGGTTAAAAAGAGTGAGTTAATCATTCCTTTTGATCAACCACCTGTCTCCTCGAGCTGGGCATTTCTCATTTTGGATTGCTACTTGATTCCAATCAAGTCAGTCATAATTGTTTTGTGAAAATTAGCTTCCCATATTAGATATTTGTTTAAGTCTAGAAATACCATGTTTGTAGCAATATTTCTGTATGCCTGGTCATGGGAGATGAGGGAAGGTTTATCTAAAAATACTACTTACTACTAGGAATAAATGGTGAGTTGTACTATTCTGAAGTGTTGGAACACTATTAGCACAATTCATGAAAAGGTACCCATCCCACTGAATACATTTGAGTCTCATGGGGGGGTCAACTGTCTTGTTTTCCTAAAACTCTTTTGATTTTAGCAACAAAAGTTCCACATCTAAGGGAAGGCCTGTATTCTGGGCAATTAAGGACAGTTGTTCACCCTAATTTACTATGACAAAATAGATATACATTTCTTATAGGAATCATATTGTATAGCCAGAAAAGTCATGAAGTATTTTTCTGTTTTTCTATGCAAAAATGCATATGACTTCCGACGACTGAATAATCATGAAACAGTAAGCATTAAGTGTATAGCAGAAAGAACACTGGCTAAATTTTTGGCAGTGGGGTGATATTACACAAATATCTGCTCTGAACTTTGATTTCTTCAGCAGTAAAAATGAGAATAAACATTCTTTGTATAGTCGGGAGGATTAAAGGCAATGTATGAGAAAGTGCCTGGCACCAGTGGGCACTCCATAAACATGTTACTTTTATATATTGTATTTAATTAGCTGGCTCTCCTTAAAATATTTTCCTTTTCTGGAAATAAATATAAAATTATGTCTAATAATTAAAAAAATGTGAGTATCTATCATCTCTGATAAAGGAACTATAAGATGCAAGATTACATTCTGGTAAAAAAAGGATACTTTGAAAGGCAAGAAATATAGTTCATAATAAGCTATTTTAATTGAGTTTTATCTTAGTCCTATTATTTCCTAAACTTTTATACCTAGAAGTTTTCCCAGGAAAGTACTCATGGAGATGTATCTTTTTGGCTTTACAAAGTCATTGTTATACACTCCAAAATCTATGATGTTCTCAGGAGTCACTTTTATTAGAAATGTCCCTCCATGGGGACCAGCAGGTGGTGTGGTGGTTAAGGCACTAGACACTCCCACATAGCCAACCACGGTTCAAGTCCCAGGCCCGGTGGCTTGCTTTCTCACTTTCTCTCTCTCTCTCTTTCTCTGTGTCTCACTCTGGTCAAATTAAAATAAAATAAAATGAATGAATGAATGAATAAATAAATAAATAAAGTTAAATACGTAATTATTTTTTTAAAAAGTAATGTCCCTCCATGCATCAGTAAATGCAGAGATGGTGTTTCTTAATGCTGACATGCAGTTAAGGTGGCAAAGAGAGAGCACACGTTCATATTAGGTCCACTGATATTTACTGACAAATCTGGAGAAGACATCTTTCAAGTAAACTGAGAGATATGGAAGCTTCCTGCAGTGTATGCTCAGTTGTACCTGTGGCATGTGCAGAATCAGAGCTTAAGTGTTTGCATCCTTCCTATTATGTACAGCACTCTTCAGAAACTGGACTGCTTTCTTTTTTTAAAAGAATTATTTTATTTACCTTTAAGTATTTATTTTATTTTGACCAGAGAGGGACAGAGAGAGAGGGAGAAAGTGAGAAAACAAGCCTCCAGGTCCAGGACTCGAACCACAGTCAGCCATGTGGGAGTCCAGCACCTTCAACCACTATGCCACCGGCCAGCCCCGAGACTGGACTGCTTTCTCTCCATCTCTGTCTATAGTGGGTTAACTTGCTGGTCAAGTTTCATCAAAAGGATTATTCCTGGCATTTCATTCTCTCCTGACATTTATATTTTTTATCTGGAGTACTTGATTCCATCTGAGAAGTTTCCTTCAACAAGTCTTAAATCAAAAAGAGGAATTCCTGGATAGTTGATGAAAAACATGCTAACAAAAGTAGAATCAAAGCAATTACTTTAATTACAACAAGGCCAAAGTAACTCTGAACAAGCCAAAATCAATGTGCTTGTGAAAAGAATTGTCAAAATCCCAAGCTAAAGTGAAACTTGGATTAAGCAATTTAAAAGGATCAAGTCTGGTTCAGCCACAGTAGCACTGGCAGGCTGGGCAGGCGGGGCCACAGAAGAGGCCCAGGTGTGGCTCTGGCCCACCCTAGGTACAGTAGCATGGACCACTGCTAAGTACAATGGCATGGACCACAACTAGGTATAGTGGCATGAGCCTATGGGCCCCGCTACTTGGAAGACTGAGGCAGGAGGATCAGTACATAGAAAACTCTTTCTTAAAAATAGAAAAAAGATTAAGTCAGACATTCTTTTTTCCTACAAAAAGCTCTTGATAAGGTGATAACAATTTATATAGAGTTGTTTGATTAAAGTTCTGGTGAGTGCCAGGAGTATTTTAGAAGGATTTTATAACTAGCTAATTAATGCAATTGAACCAAACTCTATCATGAAAGGGAAAACAAATAAAATATTTTTATAGCATATTTACTTCAAATCAGTGTGTGTGCGTGTGTGTGTTTTTCTTTCTTTATTAAAACATTTTAGGGGCCAGCAGGTGGCATAGTGGTTAAGGCACTAGACTTCCACGTGGTCTACTGGAGTTTGAGTCCCAGACCTGGTGGCTTGAAACTCATGCTGAGTATGTATGCATGTGTGCCCAAAATCTTGAGGAAGAATGGAGAAATAATTGTGTTGTGGCCAACCCCTTCTGGGGAGGGATTTCTCATTTTCTCTCTCTCTCTCTCTGTCTCTATCTCTCTAGCGAGCACGAACACCCTATAACAAAAATCTCTAAAAAATATTTTGACAGATGGAATCTATCAAATCTAATATGTGATAGATTAAATTGCTACCTAATTTAATATTTTTATAGAGGTACAGCTTATCCAACCACAATTTTTAAAAATGAGCCCTTAGACTCTATCTCTGGGCTGCCAGAAAATATTAAACCATATATTGGGCATCATTTTCACAGCACAAAGGGTGCTCCACAAGGAAAAAGTCTAATTCCGTTGACATTGGTGTTTGACGTGTCACAAAGTCAATGGTGCCAAAGACCATAAGCAGATTTAAATGGACAGATATACTACTCCCGTATGTTTTAATCATACCTGTGTTTTTTTGAAACAGACCACTTTGGAAGGCCCTCAACTGGACTGACTTTCTTTTTCTCTAATAAAACTATTTCTTTTCTTACATCTCATTTGAAAGCAACAATTTTTTTTCATGGGATTAGTGAACAATCTAGTGAATTCAGTTAGCTAGCTTTTCATTCTAGGCTTACAGGCTTAGATTTATTGGGTCAATCGTCTTCCTTGACATGCAAGATGATGGCCAGAGTGAATTTCTGGGGTTCTGCAAGGCAAAACTCTCATAACTTAGGGTACATACTTCTGTGTAGTCTGTGCTTATACAGTGTACAGAAAGTTGAGAAAGTATAATCAAACTCTGATTTTTAGAACAATTGGCCACACAGTAACAGATGAAAATGCATTCTGTTTGGTCCAAATAGATTATCCACCTCAAGATCACTACATATGTGGAACATAAATCTATTCACATGTTTTGGAACCAGTATTTCATAGAAAAGAACATGGGAAATGCTGGGTTATATATTTTCAGCTCATCTGTTGAGGAAGGGACTGATAATATTGTGTAAGGCTGAGGCTGTCTGTCTTTTGTTCTTGTATTTTCAGCTCCCAGAAGATGGAAGAGTGAAGGAGTCCTGACCCGGCCATCAGGATCCTTGAGTTTTAGTCCCTGTTCTGTCAGCTCTGTGACCCTGGGCAACTCATTTGGCTTCTTGGGTCTTGACATTCATGTGTGAAATATAAAGGAGCTGAACAAGCTATAAAGTTCTATGGTGCAACATAAATGGCATCATTTCAAAGACTTCAAATGACTTAGTCTCATAAAGAAAAATGCTCCAATTTTGACATTTTATCATCTAATTTCCTAGAAGAAAGGGCAATTTCAAGAACTATAGACAAGTGGACATTTTCTATCCTATTTGATGTTAACAATGGGGTCATTCCCCCCCCCATTCCAAAAACCCTTCTGTATCACAAGGATTTTGGTATATTTTAAAGAATTTCTGGGACCAACAGGTAGTGTGGTGGTTAAGGTGGTGGATCCCACATGGTCGACTGTAGTTTGAGTCCCAGATTTGGCAGCTTGTTTTCTCACTTTCTCTCTCTCTCTCACTCTCTCTCTCTCTCCTATAGAAAAATTGAAAAATAATGATAATAAATAAAATTAAATAAATTTTCAAGAAAATAAAAGAATTGCAATGTCTTTAAAATGGTCCTCTGGGGGAAAAGGGGAGAGTGTGAGGAAATAAATTAAAGAGAAAAATAGAGAGGCCAGACATTTATGGGACACAGGAATGCTTGGTTGTCTATTGATGATAACGTGTATAATATTCTAAACTGGATTGGTGTGAGGTGTATCTATGTTGGGTAAATGCACTTTAGAAGCTAAGTGATGTATTGTGATTGAATGTATAAAGTAAATTTTAAAAAATTTTAAATAAAGAAAATAATGTACTGTCATATTCAATTAAAAAAAAAAAGTCCTCTGGAAATCACCTGGATAAGGACTCCGTCAACAGGTTCACAGCAATTTCATGAGTTAACCACAAAGCTTTATGTTATGGGTCTACAAGCTGTGATTGATAGCAATAACTCCATCTCCCCAAATAAATGAATAGAAAACCATGCAAGAGAAGAACATACTTAGCTCTCCCTCATAATAATTTTGAATATTCCTAATTCTAGCCTTTAAACTTTAAATATTCACTTTCAGTTCTAGAAACCAACCTTCACCCAGTAGTCTTCTCTTGCTTGGCAGAGGAAAGGGTTAGGATAGGGGAAGTGTGTTCCAGGAGGGGATTGACTCAGTGCTACCACCTCTAACCAGCTGGTCTGATGTTCAAAGCAACCTGCACGAAGGTCTTGACTGACTCTCAGTTTAAATGCTGTCTGAATATCCTTGAATTCATGTAGAAAGAGCATAAACACTGTATTCTGCATCCTTCATTCACTCGAGAAACATGTACTAAGCATCTCTTATGTGTCTCAGTTTTAGGTGTGGGGAGAAAACATGAATAGGACACAGACATTGAGATCTGGGTTCATAAGGTCCTTGTTTACATCTAACCATGAACAACGCATCTCTTGCCTTGGCCTCATGTACAGGGGGCAGTAACTTGGTGAACTTCCCAAAACTCACCTGCTCCTTGATGCCTTCCCACAAGTACATCTGCTCCGGCCATGCAGCCCATTCCCAGGATGCAGACAACGATGCCAATGAAATGCACAGCCTTGTACCGGATCAGCAGGAAGAACCAGGAGAGAAAAATCACAACTGGGATCACAAAACAGTCCAGGAGCTATTGAGAGGGAGGGAGGAAGGTAAGCAACAACAGGAGGTTTGTGGGGAAGCGTTCTGTGTAATGAAGTAATTCAGTGCAGTAGAAAGACCTATGCGTTATCCCTAAACCTGAGTTTTTGTGAAGACTCAGAACTGATGTACTCACTACAGATTCTGAAATAAACACAAATTGACTTTATTGTTCTATTTAATTCTAAATACCTCCCAATCCTTGAGGGAAAGAAGAGAGGGTAAATCAATAAGCCTCATTGCTGGTGAATATTCTCTTGCCCTACTATGTTAGACAACTTCTTCTTATCTTCTTCAGGGCTGTGACAGGCGCCATGTGAACACTTGAGGCATGGGGAAAATACACAGTCATTTCAGATACTGTCCTGCTACTTTAGAGTAGATACTGCGTGCAAATGTCCTACAATGGTTTATCACTAGAATTTAAGGAAAAGCTGAACAGAATTTCTCCCAGAATTGTCTCTTTACTACCAGTAAAAGTAACTTAAAATTTAAAAAATGCTCTAAATATATATATACACACAAATATTAGTTACAAACATTTACAAATATTTATAAAATAGTGTTATAAAAAAGGTTAAACAATATAGAAAAATAACTTTGATTTCATTTTCTATATATTTTGCATAAGTTGTGAGATTCTATCTGACATGAAAGCCCCAACAGTAGATGGAAAGTTTACTCCAATCATGTAGCTGAATAATGTGGTAAAATGAATAGATCCTTGTGCCAGCAGCCAGAAACTCTGAATTTGAGAATTAGCTCCTTATTTAGATCTGTGTGATCTTGGAAAAATCACATACTCAGGAAACCTCGATTTCCTGTTAGTAGAATAAAGATAATGACCTCATCAACTCAGTATAAAACTCAGAGATGATGCACATGAAAATATTTTGTAAGTTATTTGGCTCTCCATACCAGTCCATAGCCCTAATTCCAAACACATAGTCTGCTCTTCATGAGCTGATTCGGTTTGTACCACATCCTGGTAACACCTCTGGATATACTTTCCAAGATAGAGTTTACACTTGAAAGACTGCTGATAAACCCCATGAACCAAATAAGAAACCTGTAACTTGTCTCACTGTTCAGTATAGCTCCTTGCTAGAATCTTAAGTGGCTGCTACTACCCAGCAGTGAACACAGCGCCGTGGTCTCTAATTTTCATTTGCTATCACTGCCTACATCCTGTTGATCACCAAGTTCTCCCAATTCCATCTGCTAGCCATCTCTTAAATGTAGTTATGACACCCTCTCCCACTTCTGCCACCTAAACTGAGCTAGCATCTTTTCCTACTTGGAACAAGTCCCTTTTTCTTGCCTCGGAACTTTCACTCATGTGTCCCCATCCCTGTGGGATCCTCTATCCTTGTCTTGAACTTTCTGCTTTCTTTTCCTTCAAGTCTGCATTTATAAGTTGCTTCCTATGCTTTCTTTGTGTCAGTACTTTTCTTTCGTAGTGCCAATCATGATAGTACTTAATTAACATGTAATTATTGGCTTAATGTCTGACCTCCCAACTCATCTGGCGATCCATGATGACAGGACTGTATTCCCGGCATCCAGAACACTTCTGGGTGCATGAGAAGTAACCACTAATAGTTATTGAACAAATATATATTAAGATTTATAATGATCAGAAACATTGAAATGTAGTATGCAAAATTATTAAAGGTTTCTATATTCTCAAAGCATCCCTAGGTGCCAGAGTGGCTTCTCAGTAGTCTAAATAGCACTCACCATCCCTTTTTGTGACCTACACAGACCCTCATACTTCTTTGTCCTTCGAAAAATGACATATGCTCTCATAACAGTATGTTGCTCCTGGTGTTGCTGTGAAATGATGAAGGAAGGAAGTACAATAAGAGTGCTAAGTACCACTGTGATGGAAGGGGGGGGGGGCTGAGCCCAAAGGTCACAGCAGTCCTAAAGAGGCTAAGTGTGCTGGGTGGCAACACACAAGACTTGTACTACAGTCCACAGTTGCTCACTGCACAGTTAATTAGCAATGTAAGCTAATGATCCTACTTGATGTAATATGTTCTCAGGCAGATTTTATAACTGGCCTCACATGCCATTTGAAGTACATTAGAAAACTTCAGTTTGCCAGCGAAAACTGTTCACTGAGCGGAAAACAGTTGGTGTTTTGTTTTAAAAATTAAAAATGATTGAATACAGCTGAAATATTTAGCTACATGCTCCACAATTGGGATTTCATTATCTGGCTGGAAGGCCTTGGCCAGTGAAGCTGAAGGCCTCTACTCCTGAATTACTGAGGGCAAAGTGGGATGTTATTCAACCCTTGGGAGAGCTGAAGTGAGGCTATTTGGTTCTCAGTGTCTTTACAACCCCCCAAAGCACTTGAGTCTTGGGCTCTATTCCTTTACTGGTTTAAATTCAAAAATTCTAATTTGTAAGTGTCTGCTGGTCCTGTGGGTAAGGGAATACTTTCAGAAAGAAGAGAAGGGAAAGAATATAATCAAGTCAGGGTTTCTAGAATATTTGAGTGAGGGAAGCTTGGTGCTCAGGGTATAGTGGGGGCCCAGTAATTGGTGACTGAATGAATAAACGAATAGACAGACACATGGTATCACTGACTGTCAGAAGGAACACTAAAGATAATCAAGGTTGTTACTGCCATTGTGGGTAGGACAGTTCATTTTGCAAGACTGCCCATGCTCTCTGTAGGGCATTTGTCATTGCTGGGCCCTAGCCATTAAATCACTTCTAATTATTTACAAATGCTCTGGGAAGGCAGTAACTCCTCAGTTTAGAATGACCAAGACTGTTTATTTAAAAGCTAGAGGCTCAGAAGTTACAAGAGATGAAGTGATGTGATCAAGGTAACACACATTGTTGACCAGCAGCAGTTATGTTGTAATGATATTTTTGAATACTGCTTTAATGAAGGTCAATAACAGGAATATTTCATTGTTAAAGCAGGAGATCTCACCATGGCACTTGTAACTACAGAACAGAAACTGGTAGCTGCTGTGAGTAAATGAGCTATTATTTTTAGTGATTTTTGTTTCTTCTCTTTCCCCCAGAGTCATATAATTTAAAACATATTGACAAAATAATTTTCCAATAGTTTTCTGGTAGCTTAACTCCTTAGCAAAGTGGCTGTGAGTCATAAAAAAGAGAAGTATTATAGTTGCCTACACCTGGAATTGTTAGAAAAGAAAGTGGAAGAATCTCACCTCTGATTCTTTCATAATCTTTTAGTAGATTTTACTTTCTCTGCATATATTTTTCTACTCAAAAGTAAATTATAAAATATCAATGCCAGGTACCAGCAGATGGCATAATGGTTATGTTGCTGGACTCCCACATGGCCAACTGCTGTTCGAGTCCCGGACTTGGTGGCTTGAAACTCATGCCAGGGAAGTGTGCGTGCATACCCAGGATCCCGAGAGGAGACTGGAGGAGAAGGGATTGTGGCATGGCCATTTGCATTGGGGGTAATTTCTTGCTTTCCGTCTCTCTGTCTTTATGGTGGGCACATGTGCCCTATAGCAAAAATCTCTCCTAAAAATAAAAAACCAATACCAAAGAGTAAACAACTGAACATTACTTCATAACCATCTGATCCTCTGAAAAATTTTAAAGAACATTAAAGATATTTTGGAGCCATCAGGCGTTATTGTGGTTAAGAAGCTAGACTCCCACATGGCTGATTGTGATTACAGTCCTGGACCTAGAGGCTTGCTTTCTCATGCACCCTATAGCAAAAATCTCTCTTTCAACAACAACAACAACAAAACCGAAGTAGGTATCTATATGTTCTTTAGCTATTTATGATTTATTTTCTAACATTTAAAATTTTTAATTTATCTGTAATACCTTTTGTAGGAATTTAAGTTAATATCTATCTTGCTTCTCATTATAGCCAACGTTCTCCTTGTATTTGCTGAATAATCAGCAAGTAATTTTAATTAGTCTGTAATGTTTTCTGTATCATGTATATCGTATATTGTATGATCTGTTTAGGGCATGTCATCTACCATACTATCACAATATCCTGTTGTTTTATCACAATATCATGTTTTACCTGCTGTAGCTTTACAAATACTTTTTTAATGTCTTCTAAGTCAAATTCATTCCATTACTCATTTTTTTTTTCCAAATTATCTTAGCTATTCTCATGTTTTCTTTTCTTCTAGATGAAATTTACTGTAATAGTTTCTGTTTTTCACTCCTTCCTGCTCTATTTAAAATAATTCCTGGAGTTTTCATTCATTAGCTCATTGTCAAACATAAAATAAAAACTTTTGGGACACATCTTTTTCCAAATTCCTATAGAACATCACATTGAATTTAAACATTTGTAGTTATTATAGTTAAGACTAGAAAATGTCAATTATGTATAACTTGTACTTTTTTTTTTTTTTTTGGAGAGGTTTTTACCATAGGGGGAGTGCACTCACCAGAAAGACAGAGGATGAAATTTACTGTAATAGTTTCTGTTTTTCACTCCTTCCTGCTCTATTTAAAATAATTCCTGGAGTTTTCATTCATTAGCTCATTGTCAAACATAAAATAAAAACTTTTGGGACACATCTTTTTCCAAATTCCTATAGAACATCACATTGAATTTAAACATTTGTAGTTATTATAGTTAAGACTAGAAAATGTCAATTATGTATAACTTGTACTTTTTTTTTTTTTTTTGGAGAGGTTTTTACCATAGGGTGAGTGCACTCACCAGAAAGACAGAGACAGAGAGACAGAAAGTAAAAAAATCATCCCCCAAGGGGGGATGGCCACATCGCAATCCCTTCTCCTCCATTCTCCTCTTGGGATCTTGGCCACGCACACACATGCGCCTGGTGTGAGTTTAAGCCAACGGGTCCGGGACGCGAACTGCGGTCGACTACATGGGAGTCCAGCGACATAGCCATTATGTCAACTGCTGGTCCCCATAACTTGTACTTTCAAAAGGAGAACTGTGGTGTTAATGTCAGATAAATAGGACAGTGAGTTTTTGTT